GAGCAGAGAGTGTTCTCTTCAGATTTTCGCCAGCAAATCTTCGGGCTAGAATCCTGGAAGTGGGAAGGCTTGGTCAGGGGTCCATGGGTACGCAGCCTCCCTGGGTATTGCCACGTTTCCCTTCGCAGAGCCATTCCCAGCAGCGCAAGACAGTCAGCCTCACCCGTGGAGTGTGGCCAGACTTTGAGCTTTGTGTCAATTTGCTGAACAGGAAATGGTGTTTCAGGGTTATTATTTCATCCTATCATGAGCAAGGCTGGGCATCTTTGGACATGTTTAAAAGACCATGTGCCCTTCTTTGTGAATCTTTCTAACTTTTGGGAGCTATATGTTAGGGATATTAACCACTGCAAAACAAGTGACAAACATATTTTGCCACCTGGCCAGTTTGGCTCAGTGGACCGAAGGGTTCTGGGTTCAATCCTGGTTAAGGGCACATGCCTCAGTGGCAGGCTCCTCGCCAGCCCGGGCCCTGTTCAAATGCAGGAAGCAACCAAGCCATGTGTCTCTCTCACATTGATATTTCTGTCTTTTCCTCTCTCTTCCAACCTCTCTAAAAATCAATGAAAAAATATCCTCGGGTGAGGATTAAAAAATATATGTTTCCCCCAATCTTGTAACTTATTTTTACTTTGTAATGATGTTATATTTTTCTATTAACAGACTAGATTTTTTTTTTAATTCATATGTAGTCAAATTGATCCATCTTTGGCCTTAGTGTGCCTGGATTTTGATTCAGGGAAGTTTCCTCTCTCAGGAGGAAACTTGGTTCTCAGATGGTCTCAGTGGCTCCAGCACCAGTTATGAAAGGCCTGCCTCTCCCCAGCTCATTGCCAATGCCACAGGCAGAGCACACTGCATTTCCATGTGCAACCGGACCTATTTCTGGATTTTTAGTCATTTTTTAAAATATATTTTATTGATTTTTTAACAGAGAGAAAGGGAGAGAGATAGAGAGCTAGAAACATCGACCAGCTGCCTCTTGCACACCCCCTACCGGGGATGTGCCTGCAACCAAGGTACATGCCCTTGACCGGAATCGAACCTGGGACCTTTCAGTCTGCAGACCGACACTCTACCACTGAGCCAACTGGCTTCGGCTAGATTTTTAGTCATTTTGTTGGTCTACGTATTTGTAGGTTAAGCTCAAACTGTCCGTTATTTTGGCTGGTTCTTCAAGATGATCTTTATAATAAGAAGAGTGTCTAATGAAATGTTAAGGGAACTAGCAGGCAACAAGACCACACAGAACACACAGACGGTTCCCCTTGTAATAAAACTCGAGGCCTGATGCACGAAATCGTGCAAGAGTAGGCCTTCGCAGCGCAATGGCTTCCTCGATCCGGCGGCTGTGGCCGCAGTGGCTTCATCTGGAAGGATGTCCGGTCTAATTAGCATATTATGCTTTTATTAGTATAGATATTGGAAGGGGAAAGATCCAAAATGCTTGTGAAGTTATCTTTTTCTTCTGTGAAGTTACCTCTTGTTAGTATGGTGATGGGTAGCATAATCTTGTATTGGTATAAACCTTGATGAAAATTTACCAACTGCCTCTTTCTCCTTCATCTCATCCCTGTCCCCTCTGAGATCTCATCACCCCTCTGGACTATGCCCCTCTTTGTATAAGAGGCGATGCATTACAGCAGTGATTCCCAAACTTTTGACATATGTGTACCCCTTCTATAATTTTTGTAACGCTGAGTAGCCCTCGCACTCATGAGAACGTAGAATTAGGCGCAGCTAAGCACGGTGCCGTGCATATCCCCACCAAACTCGGGTGCAACGCGTACCCCCACCAGACTCTTCCCGTACCCCTGGGGGTATGCGTACCACACTTCGGGAAACACTGCGTTACAGCAAGGCGGGCTGGGTTACGGCCTCTGTCAGGAGACAGGTTCATAGAGCTAAGGAAAACCAAGGGCCAGGCTCACATGTTCCTACCTGGCCAGCCCTGTCTAACAGGGACTCTTTTTATCCTGGAGATGTTTTCTATTTGCTGTCTGATAGGATAGCCGCTAGCACGTGTGGCTACGAAGTACTTGAAATGTGGCTGCTGTGACTCAGGAACTGAGGTTTTAATTTATTTCGAACTAATTTAAATAGCCACATGAGGCTCGTGGTTCTATATGGGATAGTGCATCTTTGGCTAATTCTCAACCTGGCCATTCCCCTTCCTAGAACTGGAAGGAAGGATCCAGGCAGGCTGCAGCGAGCTGAGGGCTGGGCGGGAAGCTGAGTAGACAGAGGGGCCAGCTGTGCAGGAGGGGGTCGGTCTGAGGCAGCCCCAACCCACCCAGCGGCCTTCACAATCAATGGTCACAGTGGCAGCCGGCCCAGCATCACAATACCACAGGCGGGGGCGAGCGAGCGGTGGCCTGGCAGGCGGTTTCCTCCAGGGGCAGATCTCTTTGTCTACAGACCTACTTACAGCCGCCCAGGTGGCCCAGGACCGAATAGAAAAGCACCCAGCAGCTAAGCAGCCTCAAGCTGGAGACCCACGGGGGGGAGGAGGTAGGCCAGGCGTGGGGAGGGGGGACCAGCTCTGCCCCAGGGCCCAGGAGCAGCGCCCAACGGCCTGACTGCCAGGAGGTGCCATACTCGGTGAGCACTGAGCGGCTCATCTTCTTAGCAGTTTAGTTCTTCTACGTCTTCTACCCCCAGGACTACTTCTGAGCGGCCCTCCTTCCCGTCTGCTCCAGCTGAGAAGCGACAGCAGAGAACATGCGTGGCCCAGCCCTGTGAGTGAGGACGGACAGTGCTCAAGGGCTGGGCCTCTGGCCCACGGGAAGGACAGCAGGACGCAGGCAAGGCCTCACTCTGCTCCGTGGGGATGAGCACCAGGGCCAGACCCCCCAAAGCCTCGGGGCCATGCTCAGCCTCCCGCTGTCGGGGGGCCCAGGGCTGCGTGCCCCAAACAGGCTTGTGTTGAGAATGTGATACCGGAGAGCGAAGTGTCCCAGAGCCTGTGGTGGGGCGTGGTAGTCTCTCAAGGCTGTGCAGCCCTGCGTCTCTGTGCCCGTGGAGCCCTGGTGCCTGCCGCCTCGTGCCTGGCCCCAGGCTCCAGGGAGAGATGAACTGCCTCTGAACCGAGCTGGCACGAGAAAGGTTCTTCCCACTTTCTAGGGGAGAGCAGAGCCCAGCAGGGCTTGGTGTGTTTCTGACAAGGGTGGTGCGATCACCACTTCCTTTTGGAAGCTCTTTAAATTAGATGCGAATGAGCGCATCCCCAAGGATGCAGGCATGGCTCTACCTGGTCAGAGAACAGGAACCGTCCAGCCCAGTGGCTCCCAGGCAGGAAGGAGGCAGCTCTGCCCTCATCTGAGCATGTGTTAGGCTGGCGGCTTCCCCTGGCTCCAGGTGGGGCAAACAGGGCAACCCCAGAGAGAGGGGCTCCCCGAGGCTGTCAGCCTGCTGGTGAGAGCCAGGCTGTTCCCCTGAGACCGTGACAAACTGGAGATAAAATCCACACACACACACACACACACCCCCGACGGTTTTTCTACAAATGCTGGGGCTTTTCCTAGAACACCAGCATGAAGGAGGGGGAGGCAGGAATCTGGAATGGCCCAGCTGCTTAGAGCCACGGGCACAGGAGCCTCGTCAGCCACCAGTGCAGACCCTGGCGTCTCCAGGGAAGTGCCACCAGGAGGCAGAGGGGAGGATGCAGCCACCTTTGAGACACAATTCCCCCAGGAACGCTTTAACAAGCCAATCTCTGAATCTTGGGTTTGGACTGCAGTCCAAGAAGCTGAATTTTTAATAAAATTCAGTGCAAGGACTGGAGTTCTCCCTGCCCCGTGTGCAGAGCTTAAAAACCAGAGAGAATACAGGCCTCCAGCCCGCAAGTGGCAGAGGCCCTGCCTGTCCACAGGAGCCTGTGATAGAGCCTCAGGATGACGTACGGAGCCAGCCGCTCAGGGCTGCTCAGAGGCAAAAGCGTGGTGTAGTTTCTCATTGACCTTCCTCCAGTGACTAGAATCTACTCCATAAAGCAGACAATTGTAAGCATATTTTCCCTCTGCGATTCCACAGTGGATTTTGAACAGAAAAACACTACAGCCCACAAACAAGTCGTTTCCTGACACGGGCCCTGTGAGAGAGGCACCTTTCCACTCAGAGGGTGGCAGCCAACAGGCAAATGTGTGTGGCACCCAGCCCCAACCCTCCCTCCCACCCACACACCCACCTGCAAGCCCTCACGGCAGCACCTGACCGAGTTACAGCTGGCCGGGTGGCAGTGACCGCTGACGGCTGCCCTGTGACAACTCCGCTTTGTATGGGGACAGCGGGGGGTGGAGGTGGGGGTGGGATGGGGAACAGGAGTATGACGACAGACAGGCAATCCATCAGGAGGAAGCCCACAGCCGATGCCAACAATCACTTTATTGAGGCTCCACGCCGCTTGCTGGTCGGGGGCTGAGTCATTCACCCCACGATTGATGACACTGAAGACAGAGCTCTGAGACCCCAAGCCACAGACTATTGTGCTCCATGCACATCCACCCTGCAGGATGGGGGAGCCCCCCCCACATGCACACGTGTGTGTGTGTGTGTGTGTGTGTGTGTATGTGTGTGTGTGTGTGTGTGTATGTGTGTGTATGTGTGTGTGTGTGTGTGTGTGTGTATGTGTGTGTGTATGTGTGTGTGTGTGTGTGTGTGTGTGTGTGTGTGTATGCAAACAATTTGGGGGGGCGGCTGTAGCAGGCCCTGGGCTCTGGCAGAAAGGGGGGTGGCAGGGAGGTACAGGAGGGCAGCAACATCTCCCCCAGCCTCCCAGCCCCAAGTATGGCTTTGTTATCCTATTGCCACTTGAGCTGGAGTGGAGTGCCGCCTCCCCCACCGCCCCCCCAGGGCCTGTGCCACACTGCGGGAGGCCAGAAAGGGAAAGCCCTTGGGAACGAAGAGGCCCCTCTGTGCCTAGGGCCTGGCCAGATCCCAGGGAGCTGTGACCCCCACTCTGCTCCTCCCAGGAATAGGTCTTCTCGGTTGAGGCCAGTCACTCAGAAGTGGACCCGCAGCACGTCCTGGCTGGCGAAAGGCTGCTGGCAGGCTGTGCACGTCATGGGCAGGGAGCGCTGCTTCTCACCCAGGCAGGGCCGGCACAGGGGGTGGCCACAGGGAAGCTGGTACACCGGCTCCTTTTTGAAGTAGGAAGAAAATACTCTTTTGCAGGAGGCACACTCGGGACCCAGGACACTCCCAGGCTGCTCTGGTAAATCAGGGAGGAAAACAGGACAGGGTTAGGGAGAGCTGCGCCTAGTCCAGACTCCATCCTGGAGGCAGGGCACAGGCCTGGAGTGGGAGAGAAGCTGCCCCACCCTCCACCCCTGCAGCAGTCTGGCTGCACCCGCCCAGGCCACTCTGGCTGGTCTGAGAGCAGAGGAGCCCGGGAGCGAGGGAAGCTGAAAGGCCTCCACAAGATCATTAAATCTTGGCATTCTTACAAATGCTCAGAAAGAGCTGGCTTCTCAGGGCAGCCAGGTAGCACTTTCCCCTGGGACAGGCTCCCAAGGCCAGAGCAAGGCACACGCTCACACTGACCACCTTGATAAATTACAAGGTGAGGTGACAAAGGAAAAAACAGAAAATGCTCTTGTGTTGGGCAGGGTCAGGGTTGGGCAGGTCGAGGGGGTAGAGAAGTCACTAGAGGGGCAGAGCTGAGATCGGTCGGCTGCAGACGTGCCAGCTGAGCCTGGGGCCTGCTTCTCCTTCGCCCTGCAGCCTGGCAGCTCCCCTCCTGCACCATCAGTCCCCTACCCGTGCTGCTGGCTCCCTCTCCTTCCACACTTCCCAAAGGGGCTCCTGGATGAGAGCCACGGGGGACAGATGCCCACCACCCCCTCCCCGAAGCTCATCTGTTCTTCTCTCATGGCCTTGCCTAAGGAGGCTCTTTGCCTTCTAATCCACACCCCTCTGGAGAGGGCAGGGCTGGCCTCTTAGGGAAGAGCCGTAAGAATGAAAAGGGGCCAGCCATGCAGAGTGGAAGAGACAGCAAGGACAAAGAATAGCTGGTCCATCAAAGAAAGAAGACAGAGGGTGTGAGGCATGAGTGTGGCTCCAGATGAGATGGAGAGCAGGGAGGGCAGGGGCTGGAGCATGCAGGACCTCACAGGCAGCAGGAGTTTCAGTTTATCCCAAGTTCAACGGGATGCGATGGGACAATTCTGAGTGGAAGAGCACGATCTGGCTCCTGTGAGGACAGCGGGCTGTGGCAGGGAAGGGTGGCTGTTAGGAAGGAGCGGGGCTGTCAGGAAGTAGCGGGGCTGTCAGGAAGTAGCGGGGCTGTTAGGAAGTAGCGGGGCTGTCAGGAAGTAGCGGGGCTGTCAGGAAGTAGCGGGGCTGTTAGGAAGTAGCGGGACTGTCAGGAAGTAGCGGGGCTGTCAGGAAGTAGCGGGGCTGTTAGGAAGTAGCGGGACTGTCAGGAAGTAGCGGGGCTGTCAGGAAGTAGCGGGGCTGTTAGGAAGTAGCGGGACTGTCAGGAAGTAGCGGGGCTGTCAGGAAGTAGCGGGGCTGTTAGGAAGTAGCGGGACTGTCAGGAAGTAGCGGGGCTGTCAGGAAGTAGCGGGGCTGTCAGGAAGTAGTGGGGCTGCCGCCGGGGCCGGGGCACACAGCAGGAAGGCAGCGGAGAGAGGACCACGCTGAGATCCACTCCGGAGGAGTATGAACACGATTTGATGGTGATCAGAACGTCACTGTGAGGACACGAAGAACTAAGGATGGCCTGCATGTTCTGGGCCTGAGCAAATGGTAGAAGATGTTGCTCTAGGTCCTCAATGGTGTGGGAGGGGATGTGGGTGGGAGAACCTTTGGAGCAGTCCTCAGTTAAGAAGTTCACTCAAGACTTCCATGAGTTTTCCACGTTAGGGAGGTCGGGTCTGAGTTCCAGGAAAGACCAAAGCTGTAGGCTAACATGAGCAGTCACTGGCCAAGTGGGCTCTCATTGGGTGACAAAGAGGACAGAGAGAAGAGGGCCCAGGACCAGAGTATTGAGGAGGAGAGTCAACAATGGAAACTGAAGAGGAGTCACTGAGAATAGGGAGAAAAAGAGTGTAACATTTAGAAGGCCAACAGATAAGGTGTTTCAGAAGAAAGGGCATGCTCGCTTTAGTAGCACGTATACCAACATTGGAACGATAGAAGATTAGCATGGTTCCTGTGCAAGGATGACACGCAAATTCGTGAAGTGTTCCATATTAAAAGAAGAGAAAGAAGAAGGAGGAGGAGGAAGAAGAGGAGGAGGAGGGGGGACCGGTCAGCCACCTCAGATATTGTGCAGTGGATCAGTGACCATTTATTTATGGTCATGGATATGCCGGTCATTTGGACAAGACAAGTTTTGGGGAATGGTCAGGATGGAAACAACCAGAGAGGAGTTCGGGACGAAGGCAGAAGACATGGCCTGTGGTCTGGACAGCAGCGGAGGGCCTGATTCTGGATGGGCAGGAGGAAGAAGTGAGCGCCTTATCAGTAGCCCCACCAGGTCTCATTTGGGGAAGATGCCCCAGCATTCCATAAGGCCTCCACTTAATATCCTAATCAGTTCCATTATTCATGTGGTCCCAGATTCATTTTAGGCAAAAATTGGTTCAGTAAGCTACCACTGTTCTTTTCTAAGACTAGAAAAATGTTAATAGGAAAGATTTTTTTATGAAGAGCCTGTCAGCTCCCCGCTGGAGAAGGAAGAGACCGGTTCCCCCCAGGCCTGGTACTGGAGCTAAGAAGCTGGGCATGAAGGGCCAGAGAGACCCAGCGTTATGGCTCAGCACCCCATTCAAGGGCTCCACGGAGGTGGACGGGCCCCCTGTTACCCGGGCCAGTGCCTGCCCTCCAGGAAGTGCTGGTCCTCCTTGTGCCGAGGTACTGGAGTTGTCCCCTGGTCAGCCGCGCCGTGAAGGAGGGCATGGAGCCAAGGGTGGATGTCAAGGCAAGTTCCAAGCTTTGTGACAGCTTCTGCTCATGGGACACTGGCTCTGTTGACAATATCCAGAGAGAGGTTTGCAAAACAAAGACCAAAACACCAAAAAGACCAAAACTCCACTGAGGACTACAACTTCAAACTGACACAGATGTAAGGAACGTCCTCCCGATGTCTACTAGTGGATTGTGATGAGAGAATACATCACAACTGGGGACCCTGGCAGTTGCTACCCACTCACACCACGCTGCTTTCTCGATTCCTGGGCTTTGCACTAGCTTTCCTCCTCCTGGACAACTGCTGGGCACGTGGGGGCCACCTTGTGGCTCCCCTGCAGAACTGCACCCTACTTTCTGAAGGCCTCCCTGTGGGTCAGGGAATGACTGCAGCCAGCAAACATCCAGCCTTGTACCCCTGCTCTCCCTTCCCAGCAGCCTTAATGCGCTCTTTCCATCTCCTCCCTCCTGGAAACCCCGCTGCTCTGCAGGGATGCTGGCCTGCACACTCTCCTGTTGGGTAAAGCAAAGCAGTTATTACTGAGTGTGACAATGAAGAGCTCCCTCTGCCACTGCACTATCGAGCCTTCTCTGTGTGGTCTACAGAAAGCCAAGCAATGGGCACAAGATGAAGGCAATGGGTGGAGGGGGGCAGCTGCCCAAGGAAGGACACAGACACCTGCCTGGTTCACAAAACCGCCCGAAGTGGAGAGTGCATTATTTTTGTAGGACACAGGACATCAGCTTGGACCCTTCAAGGACCACTGGTCAGCATGGTCTTGTGTCACCAATAAATCTGTCAAGGCCAACACCAGTGAAGACCTGCACAGACATCCAGGTCTAAAAGCCTTTCTCCTGGTCTCACCCATCACACTTCGGGTGCTTCCAGGAGTTGCTGGGGGTCACGTTAAGTATAAATTACCCTCAAAAACAGAGACGACACAGCTGTAACCTTTAAGTGTGCTACTTGCACAGGATTTTTAGAGTAAGAGAGGAAATTAAAAGAACAAAATCTAAACTGATGAATTTTCATAAAAAAAGAGAAAAGACTGTCAAAGAGCTAGCTCCCAAAGCACCAGGCACTGGCAATCACAGGGAATAATACCAAACATGGAAAGAGTAAATTATGTACCTTGGGTGGCCATGCTCAATGGTTAGAGCATCAGCCTGGGCACGAAGGCTCACAGGTTTGATTCCTGGTCAAAAGCACGTACTTGAGTTGCAGGTTTGATCCCTGGCCCAGTCAGGGCATGTGGGAGGCAACCGGTCAATGTGTCTTTTTCACATAGATGTGTCTCTCTCACTCTCTCTCTCTCTCTCTCTCTCTCTCTCTCTCTTTCTCTCTCTCTCACTCTCTTCTTCCCTTCACACCCCCTCCCTTCCACTCTCTAAAAATCAATAGAAAAATATCCTCTGGTGAAGACTGACAAACAAAAACAGTGTGATGCTAATATTAAACTGTTTCACAGATTAGAAAAAGAAACTTCTAATTTGTCTTATGAAGCAAATAAATCATCCACACCAAACCTGAATAAATATGGTGCGCATGCACACCCACACCCACACACATTACAGACCAATCTCACCAATGAATGCAAAAATCCTAAATAAAACACTAGCAATCAGAATCAAGCAACCCATTAAAAGAAGCAAGACCAAATGGAATTTACTCCAGGAATGTAACAATGGTTCAATATTAATAAGTCTACTAATGTCTTTCTCACATTAAAAACCTAAGGATGAAAAATTATAATTAATCTCCATTGATACTGAAAAGACATTAGACAAAATTCAATCATCGTCTTAGATAAGCACAGTGACTAACACAGGAGTAGGTGGTGTGGGAGAGTATCTGGAATGAGTCCCAGTGAACTCCACCTCGTGCCCTGGGATACCCTCCCCACCTTAGAGTGGGCTAGACTTCAGTGACTTGTCTTTCACAAAATACAGCAAAAGTGATGGGATGTCATTCCCATGGTTACTCAAAACCAACTTCCACCTTGTTTGCACACACTTGTGACACCAAGTTGTGTGCTGCCTTTGAGAGGCCCACATGGCAAGAAACTGATGTAGTCTCTAATCACCGGTCAACAAGGAAGTGAAGCCTCCAGTGCCGCACGGAACTGCAACATAAACAGCCATGTGAGCGAGCTTGGAGGGGAATTGTTCCCCAGCCAAGCCCTGTGATGACTGCAGCCCTGCCAGCACTGACAGAAGTCTTGGAAGAGCCTGAAGCAGACAGTCCAGCCAAGCAACACCGTGATTCCTGACTAAAGGGGCTGAGGTAATGAGTGAGTGGTGCTTTAAGCCAGTAAGATTTGGGGTAACTTAGGCTGGCAAGGCAGAAAAAAAGGACAGTAGTGCCGAGTGTCACCTGGGAGGAGTAAAGTGACAACGGGCATGGACACAGGGTGGTGGATTACCTGTTGAGCAGTCCATGTGTGTCAGACCGAGCTCATTGGCAGCTTTCATTTTCTTAGCAGTGTGCTCTGAGGTAGTGGGTGAGACCAGGCTTGTGGTAGAAAAACAGGAAGCATTTACGTCAAGGCTACTGTCGGGGGCATATTCAGCCTGCTCCATCTTCCTTTTCCGAGATGGCAGAGCAATGGAAGAAGGGGTCAATGCCCCCATAGTCTGTGCTCTCCCAAGCAGGTGGCAGCCAGGGATGGAATGCTGGAGCAGAAATTGGTCAATGCGAGCCTTCAGGGAGGGGTGAGGCAGGGGCTGGGAGTGTGGAGTAAAGGCTACCCCGGTGAAAGGGTCACTGGGCACTCGGCCCCACGTGGCTTCACTGCGGTTACACTTCTCCAGTGTGGCCTGGTCGATGACCTTGCCTGAGGGCAGCAGCATGGGGCAAGGCATGATCTCCAAGGTGATGGGATCCAGGAACTCCTCAGGCACATCCTGAAATACCTCAGCCAGCTCCTGTAGGCTGGAGGGGGCCTGCCGGCCCCCAGACTCACCCCCAGGGTCACAGTCACTCTCCATGGGCAAGGCCGGAACCTGCAGAGCCAAGTCCTGGGAGAGGGTTTTGGAAGCAACCAGCAGGACGTTATCTATTACCTCCGGAGAGCAGGTTTTGTTGGGCTGACCCCACACTTCCAACCGTTTGATGCAAGGGATACCACTGCCCGTCACGTGGGTGATACAGATCTTGAGATGGGCCACGTGATTAAGGGAAAGAGGTCCTTTATTCCAGAGCTCCTGGGCCACAACAGCAGGGGAGGGGAGTGTGGCTTCCATCAGGCCAAATGGTGGCCTGGCCTTGAAGCCCCTGTGGCTAAACACCACCTGGTTTTGGTTTTTCAACAAGACTTTGCCTACTAAGGTGAACGCCTCCTTGTCTGGGAGGGAGGGCTCAGCTGGGCCCAGGGTCTGGCACTGAGGGGCATTCCAAGATGCTCTGCTGGCTGAGGCAGACGTGTACATTTCCAGGCCAGTCACATTGTGGCCCCCCCCAGCTGAGAGGTCTATGTTAATCCTACAGATTTCCACACTGAAGGGAAAGGAAACAGTCACGTGGACGGGTGGCTTAATAAAATACTCCGTCCTAAAACCACGACTTCTCTTTGTGAGGTCTTCAGAGATGAGATTTTCTACTTCATAGCCATCAGCTGATATCTATAGATTTAATGACAAATATGAGGCAAATTGATGAGACCCAAATGAAGACAACTAGTTTTCAAGAATTTGCCACTTCTAAGAAAATTTCTTTTTTTTTTTTAAATAAATCTTTATTGTTCAGATTATTACAAATGTGTTCCTCCCCCCGCCCAATTGCTCCCCTCCACCAGGTTCTCACCCCACCCTCTGTCCTTTCCCCATCCCTCATTGTCCTCATCCATAGGTACACAGTTTTTGTTCAGTCTCTTCCTGCACCCCCACTCCCCTTTTCCCCGAGAATCGTCAGTCCACTCCCCTTCCATACCTCTGATTCTATTATATTCAACAGTTAATATTGTTCAACAGATTTTTTAATTCTCCTGATTTTTAGATTCACTTGTTGATAGTTACATATTTCTTGTTCATAATTTTTATCTTTATCTTCTTCCTCTACCTAAATAACCCCCTTCAGCAATTCATATAATTCTGGTTTGGTGGTGATGAACTCCTTTAGCTTTTTTTTTTTTTTTTTTTAATATATTTTATTGATTTTGTACAGAGAAGAAGGGAGAGAGATAGAGAGCTAGAAACATCAATGAGAGAGTGTCATCGATCAGCTGCCTCCTGCACACCCCCCACTGGGGATATGCCCGCAACCAAGGTTCATGCCCTTCACCGGAATCGAACCCGGGACCCTTCAGTCCCCAAGCCGATGCTCTATCCATTGATCCAAACCGGTTTCGGCATCCTTTAGCTTTTTTTAATTTGTGAAGCTCTTTATCTGGTCTTCGATTCTGAGTGATAGGTTGGCTGGGTAGAGTATTTTTGGCTGTAGGTTCTTGCTATTCATCACCTTGAATATTTCTTGCCATTCCCGTCTGGCCTGCATGTTTTCTGTTGAGAAATCAGCTGACAATTGTATGGGTGCTCCTTTATAGGTAACTACCTGCTTTGCTCTTGCTGCTTTTAATATTCTCTCTTTGTCTTTTGATCTTGGAATTTTAATTATGATGTGTCTTGGTGTGGTCCTCCTTGAATTCCTTTTGTTTGGGGTTCTGTGGGCTTCCTGGACTTGAAGTCTACTTCTTTCCCCAGGTTGGGGAAGTTTTCTGTCACTATTTCTTCCAGTATTCTTTTGATATCTTGCTCTCTCTCTTCTTCTGGGACCCCTATAATTCTGATGTTGGTTCGCTTGATGTTGTCCCATAGGTTTCTTACACTATCTTCAACTTTCTGGATTCTCTTTTCTTGCTTCTGTGGAGGAGTGTCCTCTGGCTCTTTGTGTTCTAAATCTTTGTCTTGATTCTTGCGATCTTCCAGTCTGTTTTTAGGACTCTGTGTAATATTTTTTATTTCAGACAATGTTTTCTTCATTTCTAGTTGATCTCTTATTATTTCTAGTTGCTCCCTTTTCATATCCTCATAGGTCTCATTTATTTAATTGCCTTTTTTAAGATATTCTTGAATAACCTTATAACTGTAGTTTTGAACTCAATGTCCAATCTTTTCTTTTCCTCCATCTCCTTCCTCTGTGTCCTTCCTCTTGTCTGCATTTTAGTTGTTTCTCTGATTTGATGGAATAGCTTTGTGTGCTAGGTGTTCTGTAGAGCCCAGTAGCACAGCCTTCCCAGTTACCTGCGGTGGACAGTCTTGGTGTAGCCCTTTGTGGGCTGTGTGTGCAGTCTTGTTGTTAAGCCTTGCTTATTGTAGGTATCACTGGGAAGCGTTGATCTCCAAGCCAATTGGCTATGAGGGTCAGCAGTGTCTCAGCTAGGAGGGCTTCTGTACTCTGCCTGGATGGGGCGGGGTCTCGGGGTGGCGCAATCTTTGGGTCCCTGTCAGTCTCGCCTTAGAAAAGTCCTGTTCGTGGTGAGTTTCAGAAGATTGGTTGCAGGCGCGCGCACTTCTTTGGTAAAGGTGCAGACAAGCTTTGGATTCTGGCCAGTCCCTCCTTAGAGAAAGCCAGCCTCTGAGAGAGCTTCTGTGCTCAGCTTAGATGGGGTGGAGTCTCGGGTTGGTGCAAACAAGCTTTGTTTTCCTGTCGGCTTCTCCCCAAGTCCCGCAGTAATGGCCTCTGGCTTCACACACCTCCGAGAGATCTCTGCCGGCTGCCTGACAGTCTGGCCTCTCCCTGTCTGGGGCCGTCTATCAGAGCAATAGGGTGATTCTGTTTTCCTCTTCACAGTTCCTGAGGTTCAGCGTGCCTTCTCTCTCCTTCCCAGATGGTAGAGCCTCCTCTCAGCTAGCCGTCCGGTGCTTCAGGGCAATGCCTCCCCTGTTTTCCAATTCTAAATTCAAATTTGTTGTGGTAGGCTGCATTCGGGTGTCTACCCTATGCCGCCATCTTGGTTTCTCCCTAAGAAAATTTCTTTTTTTTTTTTTTAAATATATATTTTATTGATTTTTAACAGAGAGGAAGGGAGAGAAATAGGGAGCCAGAAACGTCGATGAGAGAGAAACAGCGGCCAGCTGCCTCTTGCACACCCCCCACCAGGGATGTGCCCGCAACCAATGTACATGCCCTTGACCGGAATCGAACCTGGGACCTTTCAGTCCGCAGACCGACGCTCTACCACTGAGCCAAACCGGCTTCGGCTCCCTAAGAAAATTTCTTAAAGAAAATCTTTAGTTCCTCATTTTAAAATTTCCTCTATTACTTCAAATTCTCCTGTTTTTTTTTTTGTAGGCACCCAATATAAAGGCAATAGTATCCACCAAGTACTGTCTCTTCTTAAAAAATAGGAGCAAGAAAGCTTTGCCCAACCCAGCCAAAATCCCTTGAAAATAACATCTCTGTGGAAACACGGCATATAAATTGGTAGTTTTTTTTAATTTTAGGAAATGAAAAGATGCATATTTAGGAGGTAAAAAATATGTTCATTAAAGTTCTCAATTTTGTATTTGGACTACACATTACAACAAGGTCCCTAGGAAGGCATAACTAACAAGCTTTATCTAAATCTATAAATGATGGAATTTGGTTTAAAAAATTGTGCGCACAGGGACAAGGATCACAAAATATGATGGAAAATTTAAAATGGTGCATGTATAAAGGATGGGATTGTAAATAACCTCTTCATCTTTTAATCTAATACTTGTTACAACCAATGGAAATTTTAAGATATCTTTATCTAAAGGAGCCACCTTAACAATCTGGGAACCTAAAATAGTACGCTGAGTGCAGAAACTCCAAATTAGGGGAGGAGTTCAATTCTTCCCTTCAAACTTCTTTATGCACTGCTCTGAGCTGTGGAAACACTCTCCTTGTACAAAAGGAGAGGCAACTTAATTCATATAAAGAACAAGGAAGCCCTAACCAGTTTGGCTCAGTGGATAGAGTGTTGGCCTGCCAAGTGAAAGATTCCAAGTTCGATTTCAGTCAAGGGCACAAGCCTAGGTTTCGGGCTCAATCCCCAGTAAGAGGTATGCAGGAGATAGCCAATCAATGATTCTCTCTCATCATTAATGTTTCTATCTCTCTTTTCCTTTTCCTTTCCTCTCTGAAATCAATAAGAAAAAAATATTTTTTAAAAAAAGTTAAGGGATGTTTAAAAAAAAAAAAAAAAGGAACAAGGAATAAAGGCAGTCAGACAAAAAAAAAAAAAAGAAAGAAAGAAAGAAAGAAAGAAAGAAAGAAAGAAAGAAAGAAAGAAAGAAAGAAAAAAACCCACAAGAAATACAAATAAAAAATATAAGCCATTATTTCTAGCATTTAAAATTATAAAAACAGGGGGGTGAGAAAGATGAGAAAGAGGGTCTCTAACCTTAACTGACTTTGAGTAAAATTAAAATTTATCATCAGAGGGAAAAGCAAAATGAGTCACAGCTCACCTTGCAATGGAACTGACTCTAGAGGTGCAGCCTGACCCAATCTTATCTCAATACCATCAGGTGAATCTAAAACAACGAGGTTTGTGAAAGCACATTAAGCCTGACTTAAGTTCAGTATACAAGGCAGTGAGCAAAGGGGGGGGGGGGGCCTGGGAGGGAACACACACATGAAAACAAATGTAGTGAATTTATTTATGTGTATATACTTCTTTTGTTTACCTTGTTGCAGTAAATTCTTGGTCTGAACTGTGGGAGGCAAAGATTTATTACCATCTTTGTGGCCGAAAGGATAGCTTCCAAGCATCAGAAATAGCCTTAAATAAAAAATAAAACTCGGTATTAGACAGGTTAAAATTCAATTGCAAACCTTTGGTTCATTCCTAAGAGAAGAGAATCAAATAGGATAACAACAAAAACTTTCATAAACCCACCTCTCCTGGCCTACATTCATTCTCTTTTTATCCGACACGTGATGCTGGGGGAAATAGTCTGAAAGACACAGAGGAGACTGAGCAGGATGCCAGAGACTGCTGGTTCGTGGGCTGGAGCTTTTCTCAAGCCCAGAGGCGAGGGACGGTCTGCTCGGCCGGCCAGGGTCTCCCCACAGGAAAGGCAGGGCCAAAAGTGACTGAGCTCAGAGGAAGAACAAGCCTCCTTACCCAGAGGGTTTCGAATGGAAAGGGTCACAAAAAACAATCACAATGGTACTAAGCATTATTATTTAACACTTCCACCCAATTACATTTTCTTATTAAAACAAAAACAAGGAAAATGAACATTATTGAGAAATAGAAAATCTTAGGATTGGAAAGCACCTTATTAAGGACAGCTAAACCAAATAGTCATTTTAATGACTAAAACCCAAGAAGGGGGAAGTAGGTAAAGATGATCAAAAGGTATAAACTTCTAATCATAAGAGAAATAAGTTCTAAAGGTATACTGTACAATATAGTGACTACAATTAACTATACTGTACTAGTATACTTAAAAACTGCTAAGAGAGTATATCTTAAAAGTTCTCAGCACCATAAAAAACTATGTGAAGTGATGGATGTTAACTAATTTATTACATCATTTTGCAGTATATAAATCATTATGCTGTACACCTTAAACTTTTACAATGTTATGTCAATTACAGTGCAATAAAACTGGGAGAAAAAAATATCCAATGTCCAATAGCTTTTGGTACTCTCTCTAGAGGCGTAGAGAAGCCACTAGGAACATCCCTTCCAGTGGCAAGCTGGTCCAATGGATCTGCCCTCCTGGAGTGAGGCCAGGTGCCATTCTATGCTTTACCATCTGGCCGACAAGACCATGAAAAACTCTGTTAGCCCAACAGGGACAGAGCCACCCTCTGTAAATCCCTTTGCAGAGGCCAGGCATGTGGGGTGTCCTGTAATGTTTTGGGGGCAGTTTCTGCACAGTGAAGATCTGCCATGGGACCTTTAAATATTTATCTCAGCCTAGTCCCTAACACAGTTTTACCTGTAAACAAAAAGTAAATTTAACATGGTTTTATTATATATATATATATATATATATATATATATATATATATATATATTTGATTTTTTACAGAGAGGAAAGGAGAGGAACAGAGTCTGAAACATTGATGAGAGAGAAGTATCGACCAGCCGCCTCCTACACCCCCCCGCCCTCCCACTGGGGATTTGCCCATAACCAAGGCACATGCCCTTGACTGGAATCGAACCTGGGACCCTTCAGTCCGCAGGCCAACGCTCCATCCACTGAGCCAAACCGGTTTCGGCCATGGTTTTAATATATGCTAAATTTTCTAGGAAGGGAACTTCCATGTAAGTCATAAGAAGACTGTACTTTGTTTTGTTCAGATCTTTACCAAGAGGTGTTTACCATTTCTGAAAACCAATCACTGAGAGCAATGCTAATACACTTGAGAGTCTGCATCTGTCTATATTCTAGGTGATTCTATATCTTGGTAAAAGCTTCTGATTACTTCTTTATGCCTTCCAGTATGATCATACCTAAACATTTACACATGAGAATAAATTTTATTATCTCAATTAAAAAGTGTTCCTTTAGCCGAAACCGGTTTGGCTCAGTGGTAGAGCATCGGTCTGTGGACTGAAAGGTCCCAGGTTCGATTCCGGTCAAGGGCATGTATAATACGTTGGCTGCGGGCACACCCCCGGTGGGAGATGTGCAAGAGGCGGCTGGTCGATGTTTCTCTCTCATCGACATTTCTGGCTCTCTATCTCTCTCCCTTCCTCTCTGTAAAAAATCAATAAAATATTAAAAAAAAAAAAAAAAAACACACACACAAAAAAAAAAAAAAAAAAAAAAGTGTTCCTTTAAGCTGCAGAGGGATCTCCTTTTACATTCATATTGATAATGTTTCTTCTATTATTTTTTCATAAGTATTGCTAGAGGTCTATCAATTTTATTAAATTTCTAAAAAATTATCTTTTTCATTACTATTACAGTATTTGTGCGTGTGTTTATGTATACATAAATATACAGAGTGGGGCAAAAGTAGGTTTACAGTTCCTCCCATGAAAATAATATTATATAATAAAAGAGTAATATGCAAATTGACCTGGCAGAACAGTGGAATGACCATCCAGACAACCATCCGAGACCTTGCTATGACACCCACCAGCGCCAGGCCAGCCAAGGTGGGTGTAATGTGATTAGTTGGGGGTATGGCCATCGCCCCATGATCACCCTGCAGAGGGAGGCCTAGGCCACTGACTGGCTGGCTGTGGCGGGTGGGTGGGGTCTCCTGGGTCCAGGGTGCCGGCGGCTGGAGGGAAGCCTGGGTTCCAAGTGCTGGCAGCCAGAGGAAGGGAGGCCCATTCTTGCACAAATTTCATGCATAGGGGGCCTCTAGCATAATAATATAAGAATAAACTGTTTTGCTGAAACCGGTTTGGCTCAATGGATAGTCTCTAAAGTATTACTCCATAGAGCTGTCCCTCATAGTGCACTACATTATCTTCAAGTTTATCCCAGCCATAACCGTCACCATTCCTCCCTCCACTGCAAACATCTTTTTTTTCTTTTTCAAATATATTTTATTGATTTTTTACAGAGAGGAAGAGAGAGAGATAGAGAGCTAGAAACATCAATGAGAAACATAGACCAGCTGCCTCTTGCACACCCCCTACTGTGGATGTGCCCGCCACCAACGTACATGCCCCTGACCGGAATCGAACCCGGTACCTTTCAGTCCCCAGACAGACACTCTACCACTGAGCCAAACCGGTTTCGGCTCCACTGCAAACATCTTTACCAAACTGTTAGAGCATGGTTCTATGCAGCCCCTTAGCAAGGAGTTCAGTGGAAACAGCTCTACAAAGCCCGGCGCTGTTTGCGGCATTAGGTTATCAAAATGATCATCTCTACGCAGCAGTTATCTTCTTTTGGGGAACATGAGAACACGCTAGTCTCAGTACGAGGAACAGCTATTTTTTCCAATCAACTCGATATTTTATGGTATAAATATGAATTATATAATTAATCATGATCATCCTTACTTTGACTGCTACAAAGCTCAGAATAAAGTCTGTGGTCCATCCCTCAAATTTATCTTTACCTGAATTCTTCACTTAATTTTATGTCACAGTATATATTGTGAAAGCTACCCTAAAATAATTTTGAAACAGGACGGTATATAAATGATAAACCATTTTCCTGGACATTTAAGTTGTTTGGACATTTGTTGGACATTTAGGTTGTTTGCAACTTTATCCTGTGTCTTAGTACAGTTTTGACTTTTTTTCTAAAAGGTTTCTACATGTTTCTTGTTAAACTTGCTATTTATGAATAGAATTATTTTATCCCATTAATTATCTAGCCAGTTATTCCTATATAAAGGAAAGCTTTACACTTTGGTATCTTCATTATATGTTCAGTTGTCGCATTGATGGAACTCATTGATTTTTAACAGATTTTCGGTTATGTTGGAGGCTTCTGCAATCTCAATAATGAGAGCCCTTTTCTCAAAATGGTGACTTATTTGTCTCTCATCTTATTACACATAGCTAAAACCTCCAGAATTATAAGAAATAATAGAGTTGCTTTACTTGTTTTGTTCCCATTAGAAGATGACTCCAGTGCTTCATCTTTGAACATAAGGTTGATTGTACAGATAGAAATACTCTGCTTATGTTAACAAAGCATTCTAATTTTCATAGTTAAAAACAAACGAACACCAAAAACCTGTATGTTTCAGCTGATTGAACATAATCCCATGCACTGAAAGGTCTCTGGTTTGATTCCTGGTCAGGGCACATACCAAGGTTTTGGGCTCTATCCCATCAGTGGGTATGGGTGGGTATGGGAGGCAACCGATTGATGCTTATCTCTCATATCAATGTCTCTGTTTCTCTCCCTCTCTCTCCCTCCCCCAATCTTTACCCAGCTCCTTTCCTCTCTCTCTCAAATCATTTAAAAAACAACAACATATTAAACAACAGCAACATTCTTTGTATTCTGATTTTCTCTGCATATTGTGTTTTATTATTTTTCTTACCTAACAGACTGAAATGTAACACATTTTTCTAATTTTAAACTTTACTTTTATTCCTAGGATAGGCTCTATTTGATTGTGGCAGATTTTCCTAAAATGTTGTTCAAATTGAACTAAATTTGATTGCTCATATTTAATTTTAAATGAGATATTAAAATTCCCTGCAGTTCAGATTAGTAGCTTGGAGCCAGATAATAATGGCATTATAAGATAGCAACTTAACAGAGGATTATAAGCAGATATGTCAATTTTCATTACAGAGATTTATCTTTTTATTACAAAATATTTCAGATAAAAAGGTAAAGATTATAATCTATAATAACAAAAGCATAATATGCTAATTAGACTGGACTTTCGGACAACTTTCCAGATGAAGCTGTGATGGCAGGGGCAAGGCAGAGGCAGTTAGGGATGATAAGGCAGGCATGCAAGTGATTAGGGGCGATGAGGCAGGCATGCAGAGTGGTTAGGGGAAATCAAGGAGGCAGGCAGGAGAGCAGTTAGGAGCCAGCTGTCCTGGATTGCAAGAGGGATGTCTGACTGCTGTACATCCCCCTGCAGTTGGACATCTCCCGAGGGGTCCAGGATTGCGAGAGGGTGCAGAGAGATCCCCACTCCTATGCACGAATTTCATGCATGAGGCTCTAATATAGTATAATAAATATAATATAAATAAAATATATCTACCACCTAGATTTATCAAATGTTAACATTTCAGCATGTTTGCTTCTCATATCAGTGTTAAAAGCAAAATTTATAAGAC